AAAAAAAAAAAAAAAAAAAAAAAAAAAAAAAAATTTCTAGTATTATGTTAAATAAGAGTGGAGAAAGTGAGCATTCTTCTCTTAATCCAAATCTTAGAGGAAAAGCCTCTATTTTATGTCCATTCAGTATGATATTAGCTGTGGATTTGTTGTATATGGGCTTTAAGGTATACTCCTTCTTTACCTAATTTGTTGGGTGTTTTTATCATGAAGGGTGTTGGATTTTATCAAATGCTTTTGCTGCATCTATTAAAATGATCATGTTTCTTTTTCTTTCATTCTGTTGATATGATGAATCATGTTTATAGATTTGCATATGTTGAACCATCCTTGTATCCCTGGAATGAATCCCACTTGATAGTGGTATATGATATTTTTAATGTGTTGCTGGATTCTGTTTACTAGTATTTTGTTGAGGATCTTCACATCTGTGTTCATTAGGGCTCTGTAGTTTTCTTTTTTGTTGTGCTTCTTTCCAGTTTTGGTATGAGGATAATGCTGTCCTCGTAGAAAGAGTTTGGAGGTATTTCTTCCTCTTCGATTTTTTGGAAGAATTTGAGAGGAGCTGATATTAGTTCTTTGGATGTTTGGTAAATTTGGCAGTGAAGCCATCTGTTCCTGGGGTTTTCTTTGTTGGAAGACTTCTTATCACTGCTTCAATATCATTACTCATTATTGGTCTGCTTAGGTTTTCTAGTTCTTCATGATTCAACCTTGGTAAGTTGTATGTGTCCAGCAATTTATCTATTCCTTCAAGATTTTCCAGTTTGTTCCCATATAGTTGTAGTCTATTATGATCTTTTCTTTGTATTTCTGTGGTATCAGTTTTAATGTTCCCTTTTTCATTTCTGATTTTATTTGTTTGCATCTTTTATCTTTTTTCTTTGTTAACCTAGCTAAAAATTTATTGGTTTTGTTTATCTTTTTGAAAAAACAATTCTTTGTTTCATCAATCTTTTTTATTTTATTTTTTAAGTCTCTAATTCATTTATTTCTGCTCTGATCTTTGTTAATTTCTCTTCTTCTACTGATTAGGGGTTTGGTTTGTTCTCGTTTTTCTAGTTTTTTGAGGTGTAAAGTCAGGTTGTTTTTGGAGTCTTTTTTCTTTTATGATGTAGGCATTTATTGCTACATCACTTCCCCCTTAGAACTGTTTTCACTGTATCCCATAAGTTCTGGTATGTTGTGTTTTCATTTTCATTTATCTCCAGAATTTTAAAATTTCTTTCTTGATTTCTTTTTTGACCCATTCATCATTTAGGAGCATATTGTTTAATTTCCATGTATTTGTACAGTTTCTAGTGTCCTTTTTCTTGTTGATTTCTACTTTTATTCCATTGTGGTTGGATAAAGTAGTTGATGTGATTTCAATTTTTAAAAAATTTGTTGAGGGCCGGCCCCGTGGCGCATTCGGGAGAGTGCAGCACTTGGGAGCGCAGCGGTGCTCCCGCCGCGGGTTCGGATATTATATAGGGATGGCCGGTGCGCTCACTGGCTGAGCACGGTGCGGGCGACACCAAGCCAAGGGTTGCAGTCCCCTTACCGGTCACAAAAAAGACAAAAAAAAAATTTTGTTGAGACTTGTTTTGTGTCCTAATATGGTCTATTCCAGAGAATGTTCCATGTGCTGCTGCAAGGAATGTGTATTCTGCAGCTGTTGGATGAAATGTTTTATAAATATTTGTTAAGTCAACCTATAACAGAGATTAATTCTGATATTTCCTGGTTAATTTTCTGTCTGCATGATCCGTCCTTTGCTGAAAGTGGGGTATTAAAGTCCCCAACTATTATTGTTTTGGAGTCAATGTCCCCCCATTGGATCCAACAGTAATTGCTTCATATAGCTGGGTGCTCTGGAGTTGGGTTCATATATATTCAGAATTGTTATATCCTCTGTTGAATTGATCCATTTATCTTTAGATAATGATCTCCCTTATCCTTTTTTTACGTTCCTTGGCTCGAAGTCTATTTTATCTGATATAAATATAGCTACTCCTGCTCTTTTTTGGTTTCCATTTGCATGAAACATCTTTTTCCATCCCTTCACTTTCAGCAGCTATGTGTCTTTACTAGTTAAGTCAGTTTCTTGTGGGCAGCATATTGTTCTTGTTTTATAATCCATTGAGCTGTTCTGTGCCTTTTAATTGGGGTATTTAATAAATAAATAAAAATAAATAAAAATAAAAATAATTGGGGTATTTAATCCATTGACATTTATGGTTATTATTTATATATAGGGACTCATTACTGTCATTTTGCTATTTTTTTCCTGGTTGTTTTGTGGATCCTTTTTTTCTTGTCTTCCTGTCTTTCTTTGTGGTTGAGTGATTTTTCTCCAGCTTTACATTTTGTTTTCTCATTATTTATTTTTAGTATGTCTCTTCTAAGTTTTTGTGTTATGGTTACCATGCTTACAAAAAACATGTTATAGTTACAACAAATTATTTTAGACTAATAACAACTTAACTTTGATATCTAAGAAAAAAGAAAAAAAAAAGCAAAGCCAACTCTGTTTGGTATCATTCCCCCCACCGTTTGGACAATTTGTTGTCTCAAAATATATCTTTTTTTTTTTTCCTTTTTGTCTTTTTTTGTGACCGGTAACAGGATCGCAACCCTTGGTGTCACGCCCGCACCGCGCTCAACCAGTGAGCGGACCGGTCTCTATATGGGATCTGAACCCTCGGCAGGAGCGCCACCGTGCTCCCAAGCGCTGCACTCAACCGAGTGCGCCACCGGGCCGGCCCCAAAATATATCTTTTAATATTGTGTTCTTATATGGTTGTATATGTTAGTGTCTTGTTAGGTTTGTCCTATTGTCTTCATACTAAGGATGTAAGTGGCTTATTCACCACCTTTACGAAATTGGAGTATTCTGAGGTTGTCTGTGAACTTACTTTACTAGTGAATTACATACCTTCAAATGTTTTCTTGCTGTTCCCTAGCGTCATCTTCTTTCAGACTGAAGAACTCCCTTTAGCATTTCTTGTAAGGCAGGTCTAGTGTTGATGAATTCCTTAGCCTTTGTCTGTCTGGGAAATACTTTATTTCTCATTCATTTATTCTTTTATTTCTCTTCATATTTGAAGGTTAGTTGTGCCAGATATAAAATTCTTGGCTGACAGTCTTTTCCTTTCAGCATTCTGAATATATCATCACATTTTCTACTGCTCCTAGGGTTTCTACTGAGAAATCCACTGAGAGATGTATTGGGGCTCCATTGAATGTTAGGTGTTTATTTTCTTTTGCTGTTTTCAGTATTCTCTCTTTGTCTTTAGATTTTGATAATTTGATTATGACATGCCCTGGGGTGTTCCTCCTTGGACTGAATTCGGCAACCTCTGAGCTTCCTATACCTGAAAGCTGTCATCTTTTTCTCCATGCTTGGGAAATTTTCAGCCATTATTTTTTTGAATATGCTTTCTACATCTCTTCCTTTTTCCTCTCCTTTGGGTATGCCAATTATATACAGGTTATTTTGCTTGGGAGAGTCCCATATTTGCTATATTTGTTTCATTTTTTCTTATTATTTTTTCTTTTTGCTCCTCTGATTGGATAATTTCATGTGTTTTATCTTTTAGCTCACTGATTCTTTCCTCTGTTCGATTAAATACGCTGTTTGAGCTTTCTATTGAGTTTTTCAATTCACATAGTATATTCTTTATTTCTAAAATTTCTATTTTTTAAATTGATTCTATTCTTTTGTTAGGTTTCTCATTCTGCTCCTGTATTATTTTCCAGATATTATTTAATCTTCTATCTATATTTTCTTGTGACTCCCCGAACATCCTCAAGAGGGTTATTCTGAATTCTCTGTCAGACACTTCATAGATCTGCTGTTCCTCTGCATCCACTGCTGGTGCTCGTTTGTTTCACTTGGTGGCACAAATATATATTTCTCGGTTCTTTCTTGATCTCTGTGTCTTTACATTGATGCCACAGCATTTGAGGAGACTTCTATTTGCTGCTGATTCTCTGGGGAAGGCTTTTTGTGAGGATCATTAATCACTTCTTGGTCTGGGCTGTGTGGAAATTCTGGCCTGGGACAGGGTCTTTCCTACAGATTGAATCCCCTGCAGTTCTATTGCCCTGACTGATTTCCACTGAGACCAGCTGCCCTCAGTGCGTCCAGTGTTTCCCCCAGGGCCAGCCTTTCCTCTGCACTCCAACTACTTCCTGGGGGAGCAGGCCGTGTACGTGTCCCTCATGATAACTCACTGGCCTCTGGGTGTCTCTCCTCTCCTGTCAGGTACGGCTGTCTGCACCTAACGGTGCCCAGGGGAATCCTGTCAGTGGGCTTTATGGCCTGTGGGCTGTGTGGTGTGCTCTGAAGCCCTCCTTTCCTCTGCAGACTCCAAGCAGGTTTGCACGAAGGGTGCCACATCGGCTTTTCCCAGCTTCTGTGTCAGCTAGTCCCCAGGCTGGCTCAGAACAATAAGGCTGTCCCTGCATCCTCTCACCATTGTCTCTCACACCTTCATGATCTCCACAGGTCTCTCCTCCTCCTCCCCCAGCCCCAGCGATTTCAGGTGGGCAGTTTTGCTTTTTAATAGTTGCAAATTGGTTACTTGTAGGAAGGCAGGATGCTGGGAATCATCTATTCCGCCATCTTGATGATATCACTCTTCCATGTATGCTGTTTTAAAAATAATAAAAGATTATTTTAAAATTAAAAGAACACAGGTCTAAAACTGAACTCTTGAGTTTTTCCCAAACCTTCCCTCCCCCAGCTTTCCCCATATCAATGAGTGGCTGCTTCTTCCTTCCAGTGGCTCAGGCCAGAAGCCTTTCAGTCACCCTTAACTCCCCCTTCTCCCTCAAACCCACACCCGTGGCTTACCTTTAAAAGATATCTAGAATCTGATCATTTCTCACCACTCAACAAGAGGGGCAAAGAGCTGCACAGGAAATTCATGGAATAAAAACAAATGTCTGAAGAACTTCTTTTTTTTTTTTTCCTTATTGTCTTTTTTCATGTCCGGCAACGGACCGCAACCCTCAGTGTCGCGCCTGTACCGGACCGGGACCGGCAACGGGATCGCAACCCTCGGTGCTGCGCCCACCCCTCGCTCAGCCAGTGAGCGGGAACCGGTCTGTATGTGGGATCCGAACCCTCGGTGGGGGCGCCACTGCGCTCCCAAGCGGCGCACTGTAGCAGTGCGCCACCGGGTCGGCCCTAAATGTCTGAAGAACTTCTGAAACAGTGCTCAATTTCACTGAGCATCAAACACATGCAAATTAAGCTCCAAAGTGTCACTGTTGCCTGTCAGGTGGCAGAAACTCCAAGGAATGATGACACCCAGTGTCAGCAAGTGTGGGGAGAAATGGGCATTCTCATACACAATGTGCGATGCTGTGAGGGGATGCCTTTAGAGGTGGAGGCCTGCAGAGCCTCCTGCGCTGGGTAGTAAGAGCCTGCCCTGGCCTCTCCTGGTAGTCCCTTCACTGGACCTGGGCAAGAAGCTGAGCGTGCCCCAGGACTTGATGATGGAGGAGCTGTCACTGCGCAACAACCGAGGATCCCTCCTCTTCCAGAAGAGGCAGCGCCGGGTGCAGAAGTTCACTTTTGAGTTTACTGCCAGCCAGCGGGGGGTGAGTAAGCTTTCACTGTGCTCATGAGAAAACTGAGGCCCAGAGAGAGCCAGTGGCTAGCCCAAAACCAAACAGTGAGCCAGGCTGAAGACCTGTGGCCCCTGGCGAGTCCCTCAAGCTTCAGCTGGGGAGACTGTGATGTTCCCATCAGATTGAGCCCTTGTCTTGCTGTTTGATCCTTAGAAAGTGTTATCTCTTTAGGCCTCTCTCCCCAGATGTAAAACATGAAGTAAATCGGGCAGGATGAGCTGTGGAGTGACGGGACTTGGGCTCCTACAAAAGATGCTAAAGACTAGTCATGTGCTCTGGGCTAAATTTGCAGCAGGCAGGATTTAGTTCAGACTTAAGCTTCCTCTAAGATGGAAAATGCAGAAAGCTTTTTTCCCCCCTCTTCCCACTGGAAGAAGGAAAAGGCCATGGAACCATCAGCTGGTAGAGAAAGAAGGCAAGAATGGTTTATCCCCAGACTTCAAAAAGGCAGGAGGCAGTTTCAGATACTTCTAATGAAGTCAGGAGTATCCCATACACACTCCACTCAATTCCGGGGCCAGGCAGGAGGCAACTGAGAGAGTGATGTGGTAGGAAGATAAAGATGGCAAAACACCTACTTTTGCTGTGTGCCTAAAGGCAGTGCTAGCTGCGTGCTTTACATGTTTCCTCTCATTTAATGCTCATAGAACCCTATGAGGTGATGCTATCATCATCATCATCTCCATTTTATAGAGAAGGAAGCAGGCTCAGGGGAGTTAAGTATTTTGCCCAGACTCAATATTACAATAGCAATTGACATACATTGAGTATTTCTCTCTCCCAGGCACTGGGTTACTGCTGTAAACGATTAACTCATTTTTCCAACATCCCCTGGAGGTGGGCGCTAGGCTTTTGCCCTCTCCCCCTTTTTTGGTGGAGGGAGAACCCTGGCCCCTTGCCTCGCTGAGTGTCCCTGCTGTTTATTTGCTCCTGCAGATCATGTCCGGAAGCGCCAAGGAGAAGGTGACTGGGACCGCGGAGCTGGGGACGGTGAGCTTGGAAGGAGACCCCACGCGAGGGGACTCGGGGAAGAGGCGGCGCGGAGCGGGCGGCTCGGTGTGGCGGTCTGCTGCCTCTGAGCGCCCGCCCCTGTGCCCAGGTTGCCAGTGGCCCGGAGGGACACAACTACCGCTCGCAGGACCACATCTTCCCGGCCTCGTCCGGGGGTCCTGAGGATGCCTATCCCGCAGCCGCCCGGGCGAAGTGCGGCCCCAGCCCCAGCGCCTTGGCGCCAGGTGAGTGGCCTCCCCGGGTCCCGGAACCGGGGTTGGGGGACCCGGAGCTTGGATGTGCTCGACCGTAGGGGCAAGAAGAGCTCCCAGAGGGCGTCTAGTCCATTCCCTCCCCCGACACACACACGCACACACTCATACACGCAAATAAACGCACACTGCACAGGCCGGAACATAAGCACAGAAAGGGGCAGGGACGCGCCCAAGGTCACACAGCGAGTCAGAGTCCGAGCCAAGACGAGAACCCGCGCCCCGCACTCGCGGTTCCCTTGCTCCAGTCCTCCTTGTTTCCTGGAATGGGGAAGGGTCCCCATTGCTGGAGCCACTTTGGCAACCCGTCCCCGCACTCCTTCCTAAGCCCGGTCTTCCCTCCTCCAACCACGTCCGCGGGGTGGAGGCGGCAGGGGGGACTGAGGGAGAGGAGCAGAGGCGCCCCCTGCCGCCCGCCCCCACGCGCGCCGCTCCACTCCCAGGCTACGCCGAGCCGCTGCAGGGCGTCCCGCCGGAGAAGTTCAACCACACCGCCATCCCGAAGGGCTACCGCTGCCCGTGGCAGGAGTTCGTCAGCTACCGGGACTACCAGAGCGTTGGCCGAAGTCACACCCCCAGTCCCGCCAACTATCGAAATTTCAACAAGTAAGCCAGGGCGGGCAGCTTGGGGAGAGACCAGGAGGGTGCAGGGAGCCACTCACGCCACAGTAGCAGCCTGCATTTCCAGAGCACTTCATATACATTTATTGAGCTCTTGCCCACAGCACCTAGTAGGTGCTCAGTAAATGTAGGAGGAATGAATGGTGCAAGTGCCCCCCATCTCGCTGGATCCTCCACAACAGGGGCAGGTGCTACAGGCTTCCTATTCTGCAGAGGAGGAGTTGGAGGCCCAGGAATAGGAACAAACTGTCCAAAGTCACAACACAAGGAAGGAGCAGCAGGGATGGGATTCAAGTCTGGGTTTGCCCAACTCCAGAGCCCAGTGTCTTGTTCTACGTCACTGCTGTGTGCCACCTCTTTGATGCGCATCAAGGTTTGCATATTTCCCTGAGAGACCCCCAGATCTCACCAGTCCTAGGCCAGCCCAGCCTTTCCTTAGTTTCCCTGATGGTCTGGAAGAGGCCTAGAAAGTGGCTTTGAGGCTGCCCCGAAGCAGGGAGTGACAGTAAAACATTAGATATCAGAGGTGAAGGCCACAGAGAAGTGGCTTGTACTGGTTTAGAGCATTGGGTTTCAACGTGGGCTTAAATGCAGATTCCAGGCCTGGCTGTATGGCCTTGGGCAAGTGACTTAACCTCTCTGAGCCTCCATTGCTCCACCTGTAAAATGAGGCTTTTACAGTACCTACTTCATAAGATTCCTATGAGGATGACATGAGAAGCTGTAGGCAAAGTTTCTGGCAAGTAATAAACTCTCAATAAACAGTAGCTACTACTACTTTTATTATTTACAGGCTGAAATGATGACTGGAAAAGCTAACGGGGAGAACTTGAAAGAGATAAATTTAATATTCTGCCTTGGGGCTGAAAACAAATCATAGGAGCCAAGACAGGAGCTTGGCTCTGGAGGAAGGCCTTGGGTTGGGGGATACATTTCAACTGTAGTTGGCTTCCTCAGTCTGATGCTATTTCTGAATGTGCTCCTTTGGCTTGGGCTGCAGTAAATGAGGAAAAGGAAGGTCCACAGAGAGGAGGCCATGGTCCAGCTCTTCTGGCACCTGCTCAGACCACACGTGGAGACCGTGTCTGTCTGACAAAGACAGCCAGGTGGGCGCCAGAGCCTGCTGAGGCCTGGAGACCAGGCCTTATGAGGAAGCGCTGAAGGAACTGGGGAGACCGACCCGAAGAAGAAGTGACGCAGGAGGGACGTAACTGCCTTCAAACAACTGAATAGCCAGGGAGGGCCCCAATGGGGAGAAGTGGGCCCCACAGGCAATGTATGAGCCGCACGCCATTAGTAGATATTCTAGAGCTCCCGCCAGGCAGGACTGTCCTGTCTCTCCTCCTGGGCCTCAGGCCCTGCCTGCCCAGTCATCTAAAACCCTCAGCAGACATTCAGTCCTGGCAGCCAGCTTGCAGGCTGGCCAGCTCAGATTGCTTCTCCCACCCATGTCACGCCTCAGGTGTGACGAGCTGAGGCACATTCCCATCAGCAGAAGGAGGGTCCTAGGCACCCCTGAGCCCAGTCCTCTTCTGGGACAGAAAGAGCAACTGAGGCATAGAGAGGTGCAACGGCAGTATTTGATGGCCAAGCTGGGCTCAGAATCCAGGGCTCTGGATTCCCAGTCAAGGGCCCAACTCTGAGGCCTGCTCGGCTTGGACATTGCCCAGTTGGTTCCTGCGGGGCTTGGCTGTTGCCACCAGAGCTGGGGTGGTCCAGCCAGAAATGCTCTCCTGGCTGGGACCCAGGCCCTGGCCTATGGTTTGCCTTTCCACCCCAGAGGCAAGCACTCCCCCTCTTCCCACTGGTCCCAGACTATGGGAAAAACACTGCATGAGCAATCCTTTTGATTTTCTTAAAGTTAACAAAATAGTTTAAAAGTCACATACATATATTCTTTTAAAAAAAATTAGGCAACTACCGATAAAGGTAGGGCCTCTTTGTTCACCATCCTCCAATCCCAGTTCCCTTCCCAAAGGTAGCACTGTTGTCAGGTTGGCCTGTATGTTTTCAGAATATTTTCTACAGGCAGCTGCATTCCTATAGGGCATATGGCATTGTTTTGTGGGTATGTGTGTGTGTTTCAATACTTTGCATTTCCTTCTGTAACTTGCTTTTTAAATTTAACATTATGCTTTTGAAATCTACCATACTAATACTCGTACATAAAGATCTAGTTCCCTCTTCTTATGCTGCTGTACAGTCTTCTGTCATGTGAATGTATTATATCTTTCTTGTCCATTCCTCTGCCAGTAGCCATATGGCTTGTTTCTGGTTTGTCACTGATGCAGTCCTCATGTCTGCTTCCTTGTACATTCGTTCATGTGTCTCCCTAAGCCAAATGCTTAGAGGTGGAGTTGCTGGGTGACAGTTTACACATTTTCAGGTTAAAAAGATCCTGCCAAATTTCCCTTCAAGGTAGCAGCACCAATTGACCCTTTAACCAGCATCATATGAGTGAAACTTTGTCCCTATGACCTCACTGACTTTGCCCATTATCAAATTACTCTATTTTGCCAGTCTTATGGGAGAGAAATGGCTGTAATTTGCATCTCCCTGCTTCTCATTGCTCTTTTTCTTTTTTTTCCCCCTTTTTGTCTTTTTTTCGTGACCGGTAATGGGATCGCAACCTTCAGTGTCACGCCCGTACCGCGCTCAACCAGTGAGCGGACCAGTCTCTATATGGGATCCAAACCCTCGGTGGGAGCGCGTTATCAAATTACTCTATTTTGCCAGTCTTATGGGAGAGAAATGGCTGTAATTTGCATCTCCCTGCTTCTCATTGCTCTTTCTTTTCTTTTTTTTCCCCCTTTTTGTCTTTTTTTCGTGACCGGTAATGGGATCGCAACCTTCAGTGTCACGCCCGTACCACGCTCAACCAGTGAGCGGACCAGTCTCTATATGGGATCCAAACCCTCGGTGGGAGCGCCGCC